GGATAGAGTTGTGTGGCTAAAAAAATATAATGATAACGCTATTTATTGTCATACTAGTAAGCGTGGGGCGGCATATATACATAACACAATCGTGTACATTAGTTTCAAGTCATGTGCTATTTGTCATATAAGAGAATGTTGACAATATTAAACCAAACTAATTAGCATTTGATGTGGTTAATTAAGTGTTTTAATTAAATAGGGGTTTAGTGTTATTTGTGGTACAGGAATTAGTTTCACAATGAATTCGGTCATTTAGTCCACATAGGCTTATAGGCATGCACTATCACTCAAAGGGGTTTTTTTTTTTTTTTGAATTTGGTATGTATTGTTACTAGTCTATATATATATATATATATATATATATGACGATGGTTAACAAAGAAATTAGAGAGATATGAGAATTGCTTCCATTGTACGTGTATATTTTAGTGCTAATAGAGAGGGACATTTTGTATTATCTTCCAACTTATTATAATACATAATCATCCTGGTGATCATGATCGTGAACTAAAAACTATAGGAAGATGGAGAGCTAAATTATATGTTTAAGTTAATCACCCATCAACAAACAAAATGCCAAAATTCTTATAATAAATGAAAAAATGATCATTGTTGCAAGTTTACATTATAGATTAGATGTTTAACTTACTAATATAATAGAAATAAATTATTACAATTATGAAATGTCAGAAACTGCTTGTTGTATTTTGTGATGTATTTTTAATTATTTTGTGATGTATTAACCATTTATATTGATATGTGTAATAGTTACAATGACGAGCAAGGATATTGGTTGGAAACATGGTAAACCCGTGGGTGGGAATAGAAAAATTGTGAGATGCAATCATTGTGGAAAAATAATGCATGGTGGCATTACAAGGTTGAAAGAACATGTCGATCATGTCACTGAACCTTGTCCAAGGGCCTCAAGTGAAGTTAGAGATTTAATGAAAATGCATCTAAAGGTTGGTAAGATTCAAAGAGCTGCAACAAAACAGAAAAAAAGAAGAAATATTGAATTCTCTCCAACAAGAAAATATGTATGGTACTTTCAACATGGTTGGCGACGAGGAGGACGAAGTCTTTTTTGAAATTGATGAAGAAAGTCGGATGACGTTGGAAAAAAAATAGATGAAGCAAGCAATTAGAGAGAGCCAATACTTGCAATTTTTAGACGAACAATGAAGGCATTCGGTATCTAGGAGTCGACCTTCTATGTTTATGTTAGGTATGATTTGTAAACTAAAATATTATAACAAATTTGATATCATTTTATTAAATATAATTAAATAAAGTTGCAATTTAGTCATTCATTTTTTATTTGTTAAACATTGTGAATTTTAGGGAATATGGTTGTTGGCACTTCAAAACCAATGACTTCTAAAAATAAAAGAGGATTGTCACGTAATTTCAGTGTCAGACAAGCAGATGAAATGACAAGCAGAGGAATTGACTCACATATGTTTCCTTCGAAACAAAAATCAGTCAAATCAATATTTGCGACGAAAAATATAAAAAGAGTTGCTAAGGCAGTTTCAAAGTTTTTTCATTTCAATGCTATACCATTTCATGCAGCTGACAATCCTTATTATCAATCGATGATTGATGAAATTGCCAAAGCTGGTTCTGGTATTAAAGGCCTTTCAGCTTATCAAATTGGAAATGAATATTTAGATGAAGAATTTGAAGAGCTTGAGAAATATCTTGGAGATATTTATGATAAATTTTCAACTTTTGATTGTACACTTATGTGTGATGGATGGAGTACTTATACAAAACATCCAATAATAAATTTTATGGTATACTGTGATAGGAACATGATATATCATAGTTTAGTTGATTGTACCAATGTCAAGAAAACTGCTGAATATATTTTCAAGTTAATGGATGAGGTAGTAGAGGTTGTGGGAGAAAAAAATGTTGTGCAAGTTGTGACAGATAGTGAATCTAGTATGCAAGCAGCTGGACAACTGTTGATGATAAAAAAGAAAAAATCTTTTATGGTCACCTTGCGCTGTGCATTGTATAGATTTGATGTTGGAGGATATTGGCAAAATAGATAATGTAAAAGAAACTATTGCTCAGGGGAAAAAGATAACAAGTTTCACATATAACAGTGACAAAGTAGTGAATCTGATGAAGACATATACAAAAAAAAAAAGGGAATTGCTACGTCCAGGTATCACTAGATTTGCAACTGAATTCATTTCTATGGAAAGTCTTCTTCGTCATTCTACAGAACTGAAAAAAATGTGCACCTCAAATGATTGGGCAGAGTTTAATAACACTACCAAGAGAAAAGCAGAAGCTATTAAAGTAGTTGAGTTGATACTGTTAGAGAAGTTTTGAAAAAAAGTTAGAAATGTGTGTGCAATAATGGAATCTCTGGTCAAAGTTTTAAAAACTATTGATCAAGATAATAAGCTAACATTGCCAATTATTTATGAGGCAATGGATAGAGCAAAAATGGCTATTCAAAAGTCGGTGAAATCTTGGAAAACAATTTGGGAAGTGATTGATAATAGATGGTACAATCAACTTCATCGGAATTTACATGCGGCAGGTAATTTAAAATATTATATCCAATTTAAATATGTAATATATATTTATTTATTTTCTAATTTTGTTATTTTATTGTATTTAGCATATTTTTTGAACCCGATCCTTCAATATTCTGGAACTTGTGAGTTTAATCTGGATGAAGTTCAAAAAGGGTTAAAGAAAGTCATTGCAAAGTTGGAGCCAAATTTAGATGCACAAGTTGATTCAATAAATGAGGTATTCTTTTCATTATTTTATTTATTTATATTAATCAACAAATTTTAAAATTTTAACACCTGTGTATACATTATTTTTGTAGATCAAAATTTTTGCAGACAAAAAGGGAGGCTTTGGAAGTGCTGTTGCAGCAAGAGCATTACCAAAATCTTTACCAGGTTTCAATTTAATTCATACTTACATAAACATCTAAATCATATAAATGAAGTTAATATTTTTATAATATTAAAATAATAATAATAAATGAATGTTATTATTACTTTGTTTATTTAGCTGAATGGTGGCTTAACTACGGTGAAGATACACCAAATTTAAGGAATATTGCAGTGAAAATATTGAGTCAAACCCGCATATCCTCTGGTTGCGAGTGAAATTGGAGTACATGGTCATTAATTCATACGCAACCGTTTGGCAGTTAAAAAATTGCATAAATTAGTTTTTGTGCATTACAATATGCAATTGAAGGTGAAAAATTTGATGCATCAAAGAGATACTGATGATTTCTACAACCCAATTGACTTGAATCACATTTTTCACCAAAATGATAAATTGGATGATTGGATAAGAGAAAATGAACAACCCACATTGCTTGAAGATAATCTAGATTGGTTGGATAAGGGCATTCATCAAACTGAATTAGAAAGTAGTGAATATCAAGAACATGACAACGATGGTTTTGGTGATACGTTGTCCCAATATATTACTGAAAGAAATAAGAAAGGTTTTGCTGAATCCTCAAGTAGGAAACAAAAAAGTAAGACTAAACAAACTAGTAAGCAGACTATTCCGTCATCTTCAAATAAAAGTGACAACAGTAATAATGATGATGACAATGGTGACAATGGAGATGGAGGGAACAATTCTTTCAGACATAGTGGTTACAATCAAGATAGCCAACAAACAGGAGGTATGTCATGGGCTCAAGGACAAGATAATTATTATGCCACCCAAGATACTGATCTTGGCTATCGTCCTGGTATAGAAGCACAACGTCAATTCCTCAATGATTTAACTCAATTTTCAAGTGAGGATACTTTCTCTCACCATTCAGGGTCACAAAGATATAGAGGAGTCAATGATCAGATGCAAAATTTGGGTATACACCCAACTTATGAGCATGAATCTAGTCAAAACCGTAGTACTAGTCAATTGGGATATAGCTATGACCAATCATATGGAATCACTCCTGACTATTATAGTGGATATCGGCCATTTGACAGATTTGGACAGGTCGAAAGGTCTACTAGCATTCATGGTAGTGGATACTATGAAAAAGAAATAGATAAGTCTCGTGATGGTTCTTCTTTTGATTCCAATAACATTGGATTTTATGGTCATGATTCTACTGCATCATATGGTACCAACGATAGTGTTAACTATCGAGGGTTTGGATACTACCATCAGCAAATCATCTCCAATCCAGAAGTTCTTCTGTCCAATGATTATGGAACATCTAGTCAATCCTCACATCCAATAAATATACCAGATAACTCGTATACACTACCAACTCAAGGTCCTATGCCACTTCCACATCTGTTTTACCATTCATCGACAAATGAGGATGATTTTGAACCATATCGTCATTCTACTTGGTATTAACATGTACGAAAATATAAAGTACTAGTATATCTTTTTACATATTTACCTTTTATCTAATATGATTTTTTTTTTGGCAGGAGATTGATCAAAATATTCCAACTTTATGCTATAAATAAATCTTTAGTTTGTATTGTTAATGGTTGATATTACTTTTGCAATTATTAGTTTTAAAATTGTGGTCCATGTTGTTTTGATTTTATTTGTGATGCCATTGTTTTAAATAATTAAAAGTACTTATCGTGTTTAATATGTATAAAATAGTACATTTTACAAATTTTCTTTTGCTATTTTTTTATTATTTTTGTTTAGCATTTTTTTTATATTATTAACAGTTTTTAGAATATTAAATGCTTTAAATTTGTGTCTCACCGAGACCGCGACCGATATGTCGAAACCAATGTGGAACGTTCTGGACCGCGATCGTGACTTTGAACCATGGATGCTACCCATGCTGGTGGGCTGATCAAGCTAAAAGATTGGACATCATCAAATCGTTCAATATGTCCATCTTCAAGATTGTAGACACCCATGTCCTTTCCACCCCCTTCTTCAGTACAAATATAGGCTTCTATCGCAGCATCAATGAAGTAGATACAATTTGGCTTAATTATATTCAGAAATCAAGTGGCATCAAGCGAGAATCCGTCATTATGCCCGACAAAAATAGCCATATCTCCCAAATTATCAATCTCTTTCCATTCCCTCTTGATCAAATCTAGCTGCACAACTCGAAAATTTGTAACGCCGTAAGTTTGCTCATCGTCATCATATTCAGCCCCGTCCCTTGCAACTACGAATAATTCACCTGCTGATTCCACTAGACGTGACCTTCGAAAGTCGATCAATTCCCTATTTATGGTAAAATAATATTGAGCTTCTGGAGGATCTAACATATCCCATACCCATATATGTCCTCCATAAGTGATGGCATAAAATTTTCCTTTGTAGAAATAAACATCATTGAAGGCACCATACTGTGCTGATTCTATTCTTGTCCAGGACATGTCTCCAGGTCTCCATAACAAGAGAAAACGACCACCACCTCCAACTATAACCACAACAAAATCTGATGTCTCTGATGGACTCGCTGATAAAACAGCACTCGTTGCATTACAGAAAAGGATCAGGATTAAGATCATGTTCCGGGAATGTTGATTGATTTGGGAGTTCAATTTGAGCGCGCGAAAAGGGATGCAACAAGCTCATGTCTCCTGAACTTGATATTGTGATCAGCCATCCTCTTGACTCGATGAATTTTTTGCCTTTTGCTTCGGGTAGTGGCATTCTCCTCCAAATCTTGCCCCTAGATAGACTGTAGAATTTGCGATAATCGGTGTCTTTCTTTTCTGCTAGCATGAGCAATGGAACTGTAGGCCATGACTTGACAAAATTATCAACACTTGCAGCAGCTCGCCAAGAGGTACAAACACCTCTGAAAGCCATAAAATCTTCCATCAGTTGTATCCGTCTGGCTATCATGATCAACAAATCAGGAAGAAGCTCCGACCAATCTGAAATTTCCATGTTTATTGGTTACGTTGGCTCTAAAAAAGATGACGAAAAGATCGTGCACTTTTATCCCGTTACCGAGTTAGTACAAGTTGTTAATAATGAGTTACAACTTCTTGTGAATTTTGTACACCGATCATTCAAGAATATATTCGCTCTCGCGCGGTTCCGACCCGAAACTAGGTCTGTATTAGTTTTTATACATAACTGGTGGAATGTGAAAATCAGTTGTTAAATTTAAGTATGCGTGGATTTGGAAGTCAAAGAATCTCAACTAAATTAGACAAGGATTCAGATTTCCAAATATTTGTTGGAGACAGAGAATAGGGAATTAGTTTTCTTAATTAGTTTTTTTTTTTAGTTTTTTTCACTTTTCTAAACCTTTAGCTAGTTGGATTTTGACATGTCTCTCTCTCTCTCTCTCTCTATATATATATATATATCAATCCTTTTGATTGGAACAGTGTTTGATTTCGAGAACTTTTGTGAACTGAGCCAATGAAAGAATAGGTAAATTGTAAGCAAAATAGAGAGAAAGCAATAGAAGAATAAAAATAAAAATAAAAATAAATTAATGAAATGGGGAGGGTGCTAAACATGAAATTTAATTATTTCCGATCCTAAGGCTTTTGCAATTGTCAATTAATTGAATTGAAGCACACAATACTGTATGTATGCATTAGTACGAGCTTATCCTCCTCCATGGGTGATAATTTGGATGAGATTATCACTGGTAACGTCTCTTTTTCACCCAGATAGGCATACTTTAAATGCTCGGGCAGGGGTTTCAACTCCACTTCAGGTGCCTGCACGATAGAAGGTAATAACTTTAGGTGTGATTCAGGCACGAATATAGGAGCAATATCATATCTTAGAGGACTTTGGCCTAGTGAATGCAAGGCTCCAACCATTCTTTGCAAACTGATGTCTAACTCCATTTCGCAGGCTGCTTCCAGATCCAAATGTTTGGTGATTGCTATCTCTAATTCATCCCTACCATTAATCTCAAATACTTCTTACACCAAAGGATCAATTACACTCACAGCAAAAACAGCATTAGAATGACACGGATATTTCATGGCCTCAAATATATTGAAATGAACTATTTCTCCATCAAATTCCATCGTTAGGGTGCCCTCACTAACATCAATTTTTGTACGAGCTGTGCTTAAGAAGGGCCTCCCCAACAAAATTGGTGATGGATTTGGAGAACGTTCATCACCCATATCAAGAATATAAAAATCAGCAGGGAACACTAAATTGTTCACTTGCACTAACACATCTTCTATCACCCTATCAGGATAAGCATTAGTCCTATCAGCCAATTGAATTATAATGCTAGTTTCCTTTAAGGGGCCCAAATTCAGAGAAGCATAAATAGCCTTGGGCATCACATTTATGGAGGCTCCTATATCTAACATGGCATTCCTAATGCTAGTGTTCCCTATTTTACAAGGAATAGTGAACATACCTGGGTCTCCGCACTTGGGTGGAAGTTTTCTTTTAAGCACTGCAGATACGTTCTCTCCCACAATTATCCTTTTATCTCCCCTCAGTTTCTTCCTATTGATGCATAGGTCCTTCAAAATTTTGGCATACCGGGGTACTTGCTTAATTGCGTCAAGTAAGGGGATATTTATCTCCACCTTCCTAAACATCTCCAAAATTTCCTTTTCCTTGTCTTGCTTTTTAGGCCTTTCCAACCTGTTAGGAAAATGTGGTGGGTTAGGCTTAACTGGAACCATTGGGTTACGTATTACCTCTTTATTTGTGCCGGGCGTTCCTTCTTCCTCAAGCTCCTTCTCAATGCAGTTCTCATTCTTGTCCTTTGGAGCCACTGGTGCTGGTCCTTCAACCTCTTTCCCACTCCTGAGGGTCATTGCACTTACATTCTTGGGATTCACCTCAGGTTGGGATGAAAGTTTTCCCTTTCCCTGGGAGTCTAATCGGTTGACAATTGAGGCTAATTGACTCATCTGATTTTTCAAGTTTTGCATACGTACTTTCATCTCTTGATTGCTGGCCTCAGTGTCCTGTTGAAATTTCACAGTATTAGAAGCTATGGTTTTAACCATGTCTTTTAGGGACATACCTGAGGTAGAGGAGGGTTGATTCCTTGTTTGATATTGTTGCTGGAAGCCCTGCTGTCTATTGGGGATGAAATTTTGTTGCTTATTTCCCCCATAACTTAGATTTGGATGATCCCTCCAACCCGGATTATATGAGTTGGAATAGGAGTCATACTGTCTACGTGGCATGGGCATGTTACCAGCCATATTTGCTTGCTCAATTCCCTCTTCATGTAACTGTGGGCACGAGTCAGTGGTATGACCAATATTCGTGCAAATCCCACACACTTTGGCATGCTGTGCATTTCCTACAGCTATCTGTCGAACAAATGAGGTTAATTCAGATAACTGCTGTTCAATGGAAGATGAACTTACCTCGTTGACCTTTCTCGTAGGAACATCTGCTCTCGTACCAAACTGTTGGCAATTCTCTGCCATTCGCTCGATTAAGTCCCATGCCTCCTGGGTAGTCTTATTCACCAGTGCACCACCACTTGCTGCATCAATGATATTTCTATCGTTCATTAGTAGTCTCTCGTAGAAATACTGAATCAGCAGTTGATCACTTATTTGGTGATGCGGGCATCGGGTACGCAGCCTGGTGAACCTCTCCCAATATTCATACAAGGATTTCCCGTGAAATTGCTTGATGCCACATATTTCCTTTCGCAAACTAGTAGCTCTGGATGCAGGGAAATATTTTTCAAAAAAATTTTTCTGCATCTCTGGCCACGTGGTGATAATGCCTGCAGGTAGACAGTATAACCAGTCCTTTGCCGAATCCTTGAGAGAGAAAGGGAAGGCCCTTAATTTAATTTGTTCATCAGTTACTCCCGAAGGCTTCATACTCGAACACACCACATCAAATTCCTGCATGTGTTTGTGGGGTTCCTCTCCTGGCAGACCATGAAAAACAGGCAACAAATGTATTAAACCAGGTTTTAATTCAAAAGCTGCATTCTCACTAAGGCGAGGAAAAGTTATGCAAAGAGGTTGTTGGGTCAAGTTTGGAGCAGCCAACTCCCTTAATGTTTGTGTGTTTGCCATGGTGACGTTTTCTTGGTATGAATCACTTGAAGTGTCACCAAACGAATCTGATGGTTCAACTTCGGGCTCAGATCTCTGAGATGCAGCACTGGAGTGCTCCTCTCTGAGCTGTCTGGTTTCCTTTCTAGTTCTACGCGCGGTCTTCTCTACTTCAGGGTCAAAAATCAATTCACCTGTACGAGAAGACCTAGGCATACACTAGAAAAATACCAAAAAATTAGAGCAAAAATGAACTTAATGAAGAAACAAATAATAACGCCAGTCCCCGGCAACGGCGCCAAAAATTGACAGGTCGTCAGCCTATGCAATAATAATAATAAATATAGAACCTAACTACCACTAAAAGCAGTCAATAATTAATCCTAGGTACTGGAGCAGGGACTCTAGGTGTGCAATGGGTTACTTGATTCACCATGTTCCCGAAGAGTTTGCTTAACCCGATATACCAGAATTAATTAGTTGTCAGAAAATACTAAATAATAGACAGTGGCAAGTAGGGTCGTCTCCTCAGGGACTGGAGATATCTGTTTCTTTTAAAGTCCAATTGACAAAGGGGGATTTAACCGGAATGAGACTAAAAACAATTAAACAATTTAACTAAAAATGACCAATAACTAACACAAATATAGCAGGAATTTAATCAGAAATAAATAAATTCTAGCCAAGGATGCAACTACTCAGGCACAGTCCATTTATCCGATCATTGATGCAGGAGAGGTTCACTTAATTTATTAATAGGCTAGTTATAGCCATCGATGAACTCTAATGACCAATTTTTCCTTAATTTATAGGTGACCAAGGTACGACCATTAATCACCCCTAACCAGAAAACCACTCCTAGGTACGACCGTAGGAATTAATTTTCCAATTGCATTAATAACCAGAAAAACCTAGCCCTAATCAATAGCACGCTACGAGGGTTATTTAAATTAGATTGCACGTTCCCCTAATGTGTAAACACACCAGTTGCCACTAATATTAATCAATCAAACAATTACGGATTTAATTGACTAAATTGGCACGAGATTAATAAATCACATTGAACATCGGGCCCTTGACATCCAATTAATAAAATAATCCCATGAAAATTAAATCAGACAACATGCAAATATTAATAGATAAAGGAACGCGTGAAAACTAATTAGATCTCACAGATTTTCGGGACTGCGCCGTCGAGTTGACCCTTGACTAGATGGAAGACTTAGCCACGCCGCATAATTAAATCATCACACGAATTAATGGATTGCAAAGGCATAGCGTTTTTTACTAGAAAGCAAGGAATAAAAGATGTTTTTCCCGTTGGGGAATTTTGTCGAACACCTGGCGTGTATCAGAGGCCAGTCAGATGATGGAAAAACTGAAACTAAACTAAAAGACTAAAAACTAGAGATTGACTAGGAGCCGCCTCTCTTCTGTACGTGTGTTCCCTTTTTAAGCCAAAAGAAAGATCACTCCAAGGCTCATCCAGTGGTCCCCACCAATTGGCACAAGTCTGCCGAATTCTTCTCCTTAGAGCATCCACAATGCTATTACACTTTGTGGAGTGTAATCCTTATGCCACGTCAGCATTCTACTTTCTCCTCTTTTATTACACTTTCACTCACAATGGATTACACTCCACAAGATGTAATAGCATGGGTCCACAATTAATCAAATATTTATTTTAATAATGCATAACTCATATCCCATAAATAAATAAAGTAATTTTTAAAACTAATTTTGCTATTTTTAAAAAATAAAGTACTAACTTTCGTTAAATTTTGTACATTTTGAATTTTTTTATTTTCTAAAAATGATATTATTAATTTTTAAGTTTGAATAATATATCTTTTTCTATGTTTCAAAAATAATATATTGTTATTTTTTTAAAAATAATTATGTAGGAAATTAAACAAATAT